TGAATCTACATCGACAATCTTACGTACGCTGGTCAGTCTCACCACAGACGTCCAATACGATCACAAGGTGGCTCTCAGAATACAAAATTCTACGGACACCAGCAGAAATGGCTAATTAAACCCCATTCCAAAACAGTTCTCTAATAACTAACGGATGGGAGTCATGACCGAAGATGCCCGTAGTGTTACATGTATTATACCAGAGTGGTGGAGACAAGATGCACGTTATGAGAACGGTGATCACCTAGTCAATTTTGCGAGAAAAGACTGGTTTACTATATTCTCAGAACAGCCTCAACATCTAGAAGTCCACAAATGACTCAAGTGACGGTCACGCTTCTTTTTATTATTGTAGTATTATCATTTATTTTGAATAACATTATTTTCCAGATTATATTATTGATAGCAATATTGATTATGTTCCAATTTTCGCAAGCCTGGCCCAGGTGTCAGGTCATTGCGGATCATGCGACTCAGGCCGGAAATAGGTAAGTTCGTTTCCAATGACTTTGGATAAATTTCGCATCAGGTTTCTGCTTTGCAATAAACAAAGTGGACCAGTAGAAGACAGTGAAGAGAAGCTGACGCGGCACCTCAATTTTCCAATCATTCTTCATTTGAATCGGGCGCCTACGTCAGTTCACTCGTCCTATCAGTACTGCCTAGCCCGCGCCCCACATTATGTGCAAGCAACATGGGAATCTTTTGATATTCAGACGACGATTTGATGAGATTAGGTCCGAAGCCCAACAACCGATTTTGAACCTTTATTAAAAATAGCATGTTTGATATAGGGCAAAGGGAGACATTCTTGAACAACCAGTGATCCTTTCAAACTCAGAAAAGTCGACGGAAATGTGGGTGAAATTCACTGGCCTCTGTTTCGAGCAGTAGTCAGGGAGTGGTAGAAAAATGGTGATGGACAGACAGCAATTTTTCTCCAAAGGAGAGGCAAACAGTGTGGCCTATAAAATATTTTATGAACATGCTAGAAGTCCTAGCTACCGGACTCGAGAAGTAAAGAACTACGGGTTTGCAAGTGAGAAAAACAGTGCAACTAATACGACCTGGTAAAGCAGCACTTGCTATTGATCTTTTTGATGACAAACATAAGTAGGGGATTATTCCGTCGACAGCGTGCCGAGAAAACAAAGAGGTCGTTTTGTACAGTAAAGCATAGGCTTTCCGGATTGAATGGCAGTACATCGATGTTATTCCCTCACAAAATAAGTTTTGATTTACTGCAACTCAGAAGGCTCATGGAGACGTAACACCTAATCCAACAGGGGTCCGAGCTGGCACAAGACAGTCCTCGCGGAGCAGGAACAGTTTATCTGCCCTAAGGGATAATGGGTGGGAAACGGATAATTAACCCAATTTTCCCACCAGGAAATAAAAAAACACTGATTAGTCAACAGAAAGACTGGTGTACATGGGAGTAGAGAAACGTGGCACTCTCGCTGTACATAGGCTTCTCCACTATGTACTTCTATATGCTCCGTCCCTTGGCTGCAATGCGATTATATGCAAGAAACAGTAATTGAGTTATTATCAAAATCCACTTAAGCGTATACTACTTCAAGTCAAAGTAGCTGTTGAAACATGCATTTCAGAAAACGCGTGATCCTTTCTATTTCGGGCTCATTTGAGTTGGGTGCGTAATGAGCACAAAAGGAAGTTCTCGCATCGTCAGAAAAAAATACTGTCCATAAAAAAGGAAACACAGATGTTTGCCGCATGCTTTGGAGATATACAGCTTTTGAAAACTTTTGAGATAAGCAAGTTTGATCTTATTCAGGCAACCTCAAAGATCATAATATTTCTTATGCGTTGGATATTCAGGAGAGCTTTATCGTTGCTTAGTTTTACAGCCCGTGCAAAACTGTTTGCCGTTCACAACGGCAGGAGATTAAGTTTCCAAATTTACACTTGGGCCAAGGTATTCAAAACCGCATTTGGTATAAACTCTAAGCACGAAGAAATATTAGCTTGCAAAGTCGTTTACCAAAATACTTACTTTTAGGTTTTGATTTGGTGTCCTTCTTTGGCCTAAGTTCATCTAAAATAATTGAATGAGTAAAAAATTGAAAACGTCAAAAGATTCTTTACGTAGTTAGCAACTTTGCTTCAGGATGTTCGATCAGTTCTTCCCGCTCAAAAAGGGGCTTCTCAGTGCAGTGTAGAAGGATTACTCCTCGTCAAGCAGGCTTTTACACGTACAACATCTAAACTGCTAGAAATGGACGAGTTAATTGGTAACTTTCTGCAGCGCTGTTTTTCAGGATTATGTTTTTTGCGCTGCCAGTCTCTTTAGATGGTGGCATCGGGAAAAATAGATAACCTAGAGATTGCCAACAACAGCCGACCAGAAGACCCTACTTTGAACTATATCAATTCAGCACTTTACATCTGTCTATTTTTAAGCTAGCATTCGCCTTGACCCTAGGCACCAAGCCTCTTTAAAAGTCTCCTAAGTGAGATAAAGTTATCAGATAAACCTCTTTTTAGAATTCAGCTGGAAATCTATCGGACAATGCAAACCTTGCTGAAAACTTTCGACAGAATGTAGTAACCATAAATTCCGTAGTAGGATTTTAAGTAACTAAAACGTTTTGGCTCGAGGCGTTTCATTTTAGGCCTAACAGACACACGATGCGATACACTGCAACTCCTCAAATGAATCAAAGACCACACCCAATGGACTAATATACAAAGCCACAATCGGTACAGAACACTCACCGCTTGTGGCGTGCTATAATCTTTGGGGTTACCTTCGGCAAAAAAACTGACTTGAATGCCGACTATACAACCTATTCCCTAGAATGAATTACAGAAAACAGTTGTCTTCTTCAGGCGCACCGTCATTCAACAAATTGTTTGCAATGTGCTGGGGCGCACATTTACAGGGAATCACGAATCGCAATACTAGTGAGTAGAACCAAACTGTGTACACCACTCAGTCTAATAATCATTTTCTGGTGAAACATTTAGGCTAAATCATTGTCTTCCTAAGCCAACGGTACCTCGCTTGCTATTATTAAAATAGTTTCAAGCTACCTTCTGAGTGTAGTCCACTGTGGAGGAAGACAATTCCTGGTTGCTTATTTAATGTGATGCATTGCCGTATATCCCGTTTGGTACTGAAAATTAAGTCGCTACTCTGAGTAGTAATCACTAAGTCGTGCATTAAATTCACAAGTTCCTGATGTTGTGAGAAGATTTAGAAATTGCCAATTAAGTTTTCATCCTGTAAATGGCAAATTCCAGGAAACACTCTCTGGTCCTTATTAAGAATCACTGAAGGTACACATCTCAGGTTGCTTCCAACCCGTAATTCCCAAGATAGTGGCTGAAGACTAATACGTTCACTACAGGCGGCCGATCTGCATTTCGGCTAACTTTCGGTTAGAATGGATGCATTTTCATTCACCCCCCGATTATGGGATTCACACCGCGGGTTGCTAAACAAATGAGTTCCACGCAGTCGTGCTTAATTATGCTAAGGGCAAGAAGATATGAGTCCAGAAACTTCAGGTAAAATTAGATGCGTGCAAATACGAATATCTATGTGCATTTGTGAACGGACAAAATGACGTGATGCTAGACGTTCAAGTGAGCGGAGAGTCAAAATGAACGTGAGAAGATAGATGGATTCGGAAAGAAAGCTTGGCAAACTAAGCGAATTCCTTGAAGACATCGTAGATTCAAGGTCTTAGGATGCACCCAGTATACTTCTGAGACTCCTATCTTGTGGACACTTAGCATCTCATTTTTTTACAATAGCGCTCTTATGGACATTTAAAGAATGTTTTGGGTGAGTTGATACCGGAGGAGAATGCAACGTTCTTGCACAGGCCATCTCCTTGTGTTGTCCAAATTGTCGAAAGCATATAACTACTTTATATGGTATAATAACAAAGAGAGCACCCATTCTTTAACACAGGGGTTTTCCCCGAAAATGAGCTCCCATCATTTCAGAAAAGTTGTAAAATACTCTCTTGCAACTAACAATTTGATGTAAATCCCTCACCTGGGACACGCAGATCAACTGCTGGTATATCAACAGCTCTTCTGAAATCGCAGTCTGCAGGATGATTAGAAGTAAAAGCATGAAAGTGGTGAAGTATGGATTCGAGAGAGCAATCTTTTTACTTCATCCTCCGTCTGTATGACGTCATCTTCAAATTCTTCATCTCCAGGGATCTCGTTTTATGTGAGCTGAGCCTTTGCCAAATATCGTTTAAGCTGTTCTTTTTACCAACGACGGTATAGTTGAACCTCTTGTGAGATTCCAACTTCTTTTTGCCATAGTAGGGTATATAAATTTAGGACTGTAATTAAAATTTTAAGCTGTACAAAACAATCTCTATTACATTTGGTAAAACCTACAGAAAAACTGTATTTACCGATTCCTGAAGGCATCCTCTTCAGTCAAGCCTTCCTTGACGGTAATTGGATAACAGTATAATTTCTTAAGATAGTTCAGCCTTCTGACACCTTGAAGATTTTCGTTTCATAGAATTTTGATAAATAATTCATGGACCTTTTGCTGCACATCTGAGAGCTGGTTAACTAGCGGAACGGAATTATTTGTCTGGTAGTGCGGATGACCTAAACTTAGGACGAGTATTTCAGAGATGATTTATTAGGATTAATCGGCCCTCAGGTCTTGCTTTTCCGGTCCGGGAAACTAGCTGGACGTTCAGTTTGATTTCCTCTAGCAAACTAATTTGGCTTGTGTGAGCCACTCAATGATTTAGCAACGAAAACTCAGGGCAATCACTATTGTGCAAAATATGCTGCTCCGCAGCGAATCTCTAGTTCCAGCAATTCAAGTGTTCAAAAAGCGAACACAAATCAATTGATCGTCACTTCAGAAAGTGATTATTTCAGATACTGGGGAATACGCCTGCAAGATTGGCACAAATCAGAGCTGTTCTCGAATTTCAAGAGAATGTATCATGGAACTTATACCGAGAAAGAAACACTTCCCTCAGTGTTTATGTGGCACGATTATCTACAAAAAGAGTTTTGCGCTTCGCAGCGATGAAATATTCATTTGCTGATTTAATGGCTAAACCTGGGAATGAGCGTTTTATACCAGGCTGATCACCATAAAGTAGTATTCTCCGCAACGGAGCAGAATGCACAGAAAGGTGAAGCCGTATTCCTACTGGAAATTTCGGCAGCCGATTCCGAATGCCAGTCAGACAAAAGGTTTACCCACAGATGACACCTACTTCTTCAGGAGTGTTTTGTATCATAAAGCGTTCCCGTTAGGTGAATTCAACAGACATAATAATCCGTATCACTTAATTCCACTGACGAAACCTACTAACCTCAAGTCGTGTGCCTATGTGCAGAAGGCCTTTAACGACTCAATCTAACCCTCTTACCATCGTTAAGTGACAGAAAAGTTCAACCAAGCTCAGTTGCCAACTTTCCGTCAAAGCCAATTGACCATGAAGTAGTGGCGAACCTAGAAACAACACGAATGTTTTGAAAATAACATTGCGGTTTGGAATATATAGCAGGATTATAAATAAGGGTACACATGAAAATCACGTAGTCTCTCTGGGGAAGGGTGACTATGCACCCACACTGTTGGGTTGTTAGAAGGAAAGAATGATTTTTCAGAAAAATTAGTCATTATGCCCCGGAGCCTTCAAAAACTAAGTGACTTACCGATGTCATGCGTCATGGATGAGTCCGGTTTTGTTTCATCTGGACCGAATTCAGGATCTTCCTCCTTTTTCACAGCAAGTTCTTTGTCATTTTTGACTCCTCTCATCCTTGTCAAAATCTCCGCCGTAGGTAATTTCGGATCTACAAAAGAAATTCTTGACGAACTTTTTGAACTCGCGGTCCAAGAAGAATTCGATGAGATGGTGGCAAATTAGATGAACATACATACTCATTTTTATTTTCCAAAAGCTTTGTTAATTTCAAGTGTCTTTATTTTTTTCAAGATTTATCGGGAAAAAGAGGGATTTCTGATAAAGTTCTCAGGGTGTTTGAACAGAAGCCAGAAGGTGCCTCGTTGTTAAACATAATATTCAAATGTGTTGTTTAAAGGTAAAGCCTAGCCCAAACCTGTGCACACCTCGGAATCTCTACATTAACCGCTTGGTGATCTTCATGTTCCTGTGGAGTTACTCAGGGATCCTCAGCGGGATGTCTTAAAATTTTCACTGAAATTCGTATTCTTAAATTATTAGAACACTGTAAAATAGAAAACTATGGCCGAGACACTCTACAGTTCCTGGCACCCACAGTAAAAGATCCAGCCAACTGTTCAGAAGCTGCGGAAATTTTGATTATGGATTCCTGTTCTGGAAACCCTATCCAAACAACTACAAGTGAGGCGAAACCTAAAGCTATATGGCCTGCCTACGACTAGTACTGTTCTCTCCATGTAAAACAGTTTACAGGAATTTACTAAATCAACCACCTAGAGGTAAATTTGATTTTTTAACATTTCTTGATCCCGCCTATCAGAAATCTACTAGTTTTATTAGTAGAAACAATCAGAGTACAAAATACGTATCGCAAATGTCACCGTGTAGAATCAAGATATTTACTGTACTCGGGCGCTATTTGATGTTCCTCGGACATTCACGCAGACCACCAATGGTTTCAGTGGTTGTTGTGGTAATGTGCTAATTCTGCCATGGATCTTCCGTGAATTCGTCACAATGGTAGGTCTTGAAACCAAGCTGCGGGTTTTGAGCTTCAACAAGTTGACGGACCTGAAGCTCCTATGGTTCATCGTCCCATGATTAGTGAGACGACTGCAAATAGTCTGCTTGGCACTTAAGAGGCATTCACATTTTTTAAACCTATATATGGACTGAGTCCGGATATCCGGCCCATTTATTGCACCTGATCGATTTGTATTAAGCTCTCCACTGAACCATGTATCAGCGTAGATTTTATTTGTCCTATGGCGCCGTCTCACACGTTGTGTTGTGTAAATACTTATAGAGAACAGTCTGCTCCTTGACTTGAAATTTTTACTTGCACGCCGATTTTGCGTTTCGCAGCTTTCACCCCTGTCAAACCCACGACTGTTTTCTAAACTTTATCGCCATGATGACAGTCGTGCCATATTTGCCCCGTATCTCCATAACTAGCCGAAAATAGGCAACATCGTGTTTCGCGCTGTAGCTACTCCGCTTGCTCATACAGCTCACACTAAACTTCAAAGGCGTCTAACCTTGTGAAATTGGGAATATGCCTGACTTATATAATTGCTCGGCTTAAGTTGCTAATGCATCAAATTTGCACAAATCTCTAAAGCTTGACATTTTCTAACTAACTAACTAACTAACTAACTAACCAACTAACTACCTAATTACATAAGGTAAACGAAGGTTTTATATGTTTTGCTGTACAATACCACAAGAGGGGAATTATTCTGATTAATAAGAGACAAAATTGTCTCCTTGCCGGTGAGGCACGACTTTTCAATACTCGATTAGCTAAATATTGTGATTAGTATGAGGTGCCCAGTAATATTTTACCTGTATTCTGTATACTATTCCAATTTATTCCCTCACATCTCGAGAAAGATATACTTACTCATAATCTTTCGGCTTATATTGGGCCCCGGCAGGAGCAAGTCTGGGTATTTGGCTGGAGGTCAAAAACACAGATGGTGCGTGTGTGATAATTACGAACAGTATTTTGTTTTATTACTACTCGTAAAGCCGATGGAAAGTCTGGAGAGCCCGTGACGTCACTTGCCTTTCTTAGGGTTGACCAGGTAGTTAGGTGGTCCCAGAATTTCTGCCAAGTTTATTTCCCTTTTGAGCACCAGATTGTTCGTATGGTGTGATGAACACTCTCGATAACTTTGCTTTACGTTGACATTAAAAACCGAATTTCAACTAAATGCTTGATTTCGTGAGTCAGCTAAAATATCATTTCACTTGCAGTCAAATGAAGTCACTGACAATCTAATGTAAACGGTAAATTATCGTGTGGAGGACTGCATAATCGATAGGTCTTTACTTGGGCAGAAAAGGCACATACCGCGGTAAATAATACGTGCGCATGCAAATAAATATACTAAATACGATGGACTATTTTTGTCATGTCCCGGGACACAGCCGCATGAGGTACTTTGCTCTCATTACTGTCAGCAGATAAACGTGACAGTTAAGGTAGCAGTTGCCGGTAAGCACTCTTCACCGGATCAACAGTGCATGACTGATGAGGGCCGAATGATGGATTCTTAATATAATCCTACAATCTCTGAATTTTGTTTCCAAACTCATCATCGTCTACACAGCATCAGCATTCGAAACTATTACTTCACCGCATACGTCACAAGTTATTTCCATAACTTATTGTACGAAAAATGACTAAGTTCTCTCGACAGACTGATTTGTATTCCGTGCCCTTGGCTGATGGTTGCTAGCTATTCTCCGTTGAGTGCTAAAAAGTGTTCATATACCGAATGAACGGCTTGGTTGTCTAACAGGCGTGAATTTGCCTGACTTACGGCCAGAGCGACCGCGTAGTTTTTGGCGAAACAAAATATTGGATGAAAATATCTTTGATATTCTTGCATGCAGCCCTGGGGAATGTAGCGAATTTTCTTATTCGGTTGCAAAAGCCGTTTCTACACCTTACTGCGCGCTCACACTGCCTTACTCAGACTCTGGAACAGACCACGGCAGAAATACACCCTGCCATGGTTTACTGTCTGCCATTCTGACCGCAGCTTGTTTGGTATTGTGCTAGCAAATGAAGCCGACCATCTGCACTAGTGGTTGGATGTCACTGCACCTCGGGTGGGCAGAGTGATGGGATCAGAACCGCCACTGGTCAGCTATGTCACCCTTATTAGCCACACGTAAAGCAGCTCCACGAAGCACACATTTGTGACGTTACACCATAGGTCGCCCACGCAAACGCCCAAAACGATTCACAGATAGCACATGTAGTATAAAAGTCAATGATGGAACGTCTTCCACCGTAACGTATAGATTGGTTATCCTTATTCAGATGGAAAGATAATGTGTGAATTCGCAGTTGGTATCATTACAAGAATGCATTGCTTTACCTTAAAAACCATGTAAACGTCAAAGACCGAACCAAATAAGTCCTTAAGTGGGTGCTGACCAGGGACGGATGCGTTAGAAAGTTCACCTTATTTGAGCATTTATGAGTCCACTGAGATGAAAGAGGTTGACGGAAATCCGGGAAACAGAATAATTCTAAAGTGGATCGGATGACAACCATGCTCCCCTAAAAAGAAAGACAGTCCGTGGTGTATATTATTATCCCATCAGTCCACCGTGGAATACTTCGTCGAATTCTCCGAACAGAAAGAGTAGCAGCTCTCACTTTTAGGCAAAAAAGATGGTGTATTAGAACTGCGAATTTTTGACAGGATGAACACCGGTCCATAGTTTATACTCGCTTGTGTTTATATCTGGAATTTTTATTAGTGTTTTCCCAACGTAATTGTTGTTTGGAACAAGAAGTTGGTTATTCGCAATAAACCGTAGATTCCTGTGAATGTGCTACCCGCTGATCTGGCTTAAAGTTGCTAGCTTAATGAACACTCTTGCGTTTTACTCAGTTTGCTTTCCGAATCGATCACCCTTATCTAAAAGGCTGAAAGTTAATATTAACATTCCCCAAACACAAGAGAAAATCATCGCGCATTTTTAGGCAATCTGCTTTCCTATGTCAGCTTTATCTTTTAGGCGGCTTGCATTTTAGAATCTGACTGTGGGAAAAGAGGCTTTCGTTTGTATATGCATACATATTTCAAGCTATATGGTTGCGGTGGAGTTAAGAATTTCATGGCCATTCCAGGGTTACCTAACATATAATCAGAAGATCCTAATGCAAACGGGTACTTTATAGCCCTTGTCACCTTATATTATGACTGGGAGCCAGCAGGCCACGTCTGTAGTTTTCAGCTCCTCTTTCTTTGGGAACAAACAAGATAGATTGAAAAAAGTTGTTTTCTGTGCAGAGAATCTACAAAATTCAATTTTAAGGTGTGATCCCTCCCATTCCTGAAAGTGAAGAGCCGTGATAAGTAACCATCTGCTCAACCGCAGGTGTACGATACATCTTGTCATAATTCCATTTAGCGCTGATTTAGTGAGCAAAACTTACCTAAATTAAAAGCCATTTGGTACCAATAAAAACTAGAAAATTTGCTCTCCAAATTGAATGCGGATCCGGTGTGGCCCAGTCGATCATATTCGTTTTTATCGACTATGAGCATTAAGGATACTTGGGGCCATGGCGGTTGTTGAACAAATTTATCGGGCTTGAGGACTTCACATCCATGTATCAGGTTTGGCCACTGGGCGGTCTTTCGGATGATCTGTAGAAAGAAGTATTTAAAAATACTGTTAAAAACTGTTAGCGTGCTGACGATATTAACAAAGACATGACTGGATATGTAAAAGCTTGACTGCGCCACACCTTGTGGTTATTGCTCTGCTAGCTGAGCTGGGCACTTCAGTTGCAATAGTTTCGTCAGCAACCGAGGTAAAACTCTCTGTGCAGAGCGTCGCACTAAGTCGGCAGGTAGGCATGGCGAACAGAACAAGGATAATCTATACAAGCTGAGCTATCAGCAATCCGCTCAAAAGCATATCATATTGTCTTCTCGAGTGGAGGACACGTGACACATTCCAGTAGTTTTCGCCTGCTTCATAACTAAAAACAATTTTTTATCCTTTTTGTTATTGTTTGTTTCTTGATATTGTCTGGGTTTATTTTAACGAGGCCTCCACATTTAGATAAAATACCGAATTTCCAAAAAATTCAAGCCAAACGCACCTTCAGGCGAACAACTGGCCAATCTTTCTTCGTTCTCACAGCATATATCTCCATAACAGACTGCACAGCATACGCGGACAATTGTATTTTGTCCAGTTTACATGTATGAATTTAAACAGAAGGGCCAGTCCCATGACATCGGTATTAAAATCTGAACATAAATTCTTAAAAATTTCAGATAGGTTGATTGGCTTATTTTGCGCAGCCACTTGTGTACCGTTCGTGGATAGTGTGCGCAAAAACTACCCCAGTTATCGATGTTCACAGATGAGCTCTTCAAAGCTGTCTAAGCAGTTGAGGTTTACGGGAATGTTTTCCCCATTTGCAATTCAAAACCATTAAACAAATCAGACAATACCTGATAATTCTTAGCGATATGGAACACATGGCCAGCGGCATAGCTCACATACACACTCAGCCAAATTGTCCGTGCTTTTGATTTTCGGTTAGAAAAACCAGCTGGCTGCATTCATGCGCACTTGCTTGTTCCCAGTGGTTCATTATATGGGTTACATTATGCAGCTCAGCCAGTTTCACCTACCAATGATGCCTGGTGGGGGGAATACTGATTACCATACGCGTAATCACGGAAGGAACAGCTAGGAGAGGTTTTTCCTTGACAATTAGTAAAATCCAGGAAACAGAGCTCATTGAAGGTGTATGGCAATTTTTTTAACTTATGGTTCAGTGTGAGCTCCTCCCGAGAGAACATTTGCAGCAATGAACTATGGGTACACTCTCCTGTGTCTCTAAGCTGGTTGGGGGAGACTTAGCGAATAAAAAGCTCTTCAAGTACCAAACAGGAGTGTTTTGTTCTCAGGAAGGTTTCAGTGCAATGGAATGTCTGGACGGTAAAGGATGACCATAAGCTGTACAACACAGGAGATTCACAATCCTTCTACCGAACGGTGATCACCTCTGATAACCAGCGTCCATTTATGACTAGCGAACTAGGATAAGAAACAACTGTCAACACAATCTTAGCAGTTGGCATTTTCTAAATTATTACAGGGCTTAGGCCAGGACTACTGACGGTTGGAAATAAATTTTAACCCCCTAGTTCCAAATATTACCCACAAAATATTCGCGGAGGAACGGAATGCCATTACACTGTTTATTTTCTCTAAACCAATTCTCTTGCAACTATTTGTAAGCTGGGTTGTCTTGGTTCCCGCTTCGCCGAGACTCCATCAATAAAGATTTCATTACATTTCGTCGAATCACACTGTTCGAAGACGGACATTTGACACTTTCCAAGTGCCAGGTTTGTTCAGAAGTTATTATCTCTACTGAAAACAATAAGATCACAGTGAGGAGGGTTTAGGAAGTCACCGAAACTCTTAATCCGTGTTCGTTTTTGTTTTCGGCTTAGTTTTCCTTCGTTTCCTTTTTGTAGATTTAGAACCGTCCCGTGGAAAAAGAAATCCACATTCATTAAGTAGTGAATTTAGGCAGATGACTGGCTCGAAATATCCAGGAAAAAATGAGTTGGTCTATTTGGTACTTCATCTTTCAAAGTAACACACCAGAATATATTCATAATCCATTCATCCTTATAAATTATGCTTCCTGATATTTATTCACATGCGGTAACTGACATTTATGCAACATGTGTACACGGGCAGAAGAAAGTTAACTTTTATAGAGGAGCTTCCTATACGGTTTCATCGTTAAGCATGAATGCATCAGACCAACTCACATATGAACATATCCTGAAGGATTCCGCGGATTTGAAGAAATTGAATTCCTCTGATGGTAGCGCCAATATCTCGCTGTCACTCACATACGGCAGCATGCTGCAGTGAAAGGCTTCAAAATCGTCCAGATAAGTTTTAACAAATAAAAAACCTTTTCAGTATTGACTTTTTAGTAACCAACCGACGTTATTTGACGTGCATCATGAATAATCGTGATTAGTGAACCCAATTACAACTATAGGATCACATACAGCAAGGCTGAAAAACAATGTCATGGGCGGATGCATCATCTAGAAATCCGTTAACTCTTTAATGGTCTGGAAGATACTGGATCGAGTAAACACCAGCTTGACCGGCTATGCGGCAGTCTGGTCTTTAGTTCAGGATAGAAGGCTGGAAGCAAACAATAGCATTTCAACAAACACTGATAACTGTAACGCATAGACTTGTTCTGTTATCTAGATTTTCCCATGTAGCTGCGCAGAAAAGTCTGCGGCTTAAAGAGGCCACCACATTTTGGACCAAAAATTGGGGTTCCCTAGGAGATTTTATGGCTTAGAACCTTAGCACGTCATCAACTACACTACTAGATTAAATAACATCCACATGGATGCTGAATTACCACCCTCTGAGTTTTGGCTTCCACTTCTGTTTCAACAGAATAATGTCAGCGGTATGCTAGCTATGTCGGGGTAAGCGTGCTTAACTCCGGATCGCTTCAGCTACGTGATTTATATCTTGGGTGAAAAGATGTAGATGAACGGAACTCTAGGGGACTTGACTGCAATCACATTGGTTTGTTTTCGTGGAAGCTACCTGAGGGGAGTGTAATATTAATATTATATAGTGGGACGTTCCGGTGTCTTTCTTCGCGCCTTGCAAAAAATCTCAAAAGGTGGTTGCTTGAGGATACTAAAGCGATCCGACGGAGATCTGGCAATGTACTCAGAGGTAGTTGCACTCCCTGGCTAATATTTTTCATATATGCTGATGTTTTAGGTTAAATTTCCAACAGATGTAAATAGTACGGAGTTGGTTAGTCAGACGGAAACAAACAGGAACAACCAGGCTGAAGACACAACTGGGTTGATTGTCGGATTGAAAATTTGAGATGATATTCAAAGCACTGCCTTAGAAGGCCGATATCGAGAGACCAAAAGTCTTGAAAATATCGGAGTGGCTTTTATCTACTTTCGAAGATGCCCAAGGTGTTAATTTATTGACACTGGCCGAATGCAAGAAAGCAAAAAAGATAAGGTAAACAAGAACTTGTCAAGTACATCCGCATTTGAGGACTAGACAGACTACTGCAGCATCCCCAGACCTAGAGCGAATCATATATTGTAGGGAATTAAACCAAGTTCCGTCGTATGCGGCGACTGTTGTTCGGCTCATCAGCAGTGGCAATTTAGATTTTCCTAGGACTAATTGCTGTACATGGTTGTGGCAGGCGACTTTGTGTAGTTCGAAATACCCCACAGTGATCGCAGAGTCGCTGCCGTTGCCTAGCCAAAGTGGTGATAAGCTTCGTGCGGTAACTGACCTAAGATGCCTGTAGTAATTGCTCAGTTTATATTTCCTAAGCACTGCATATGGAATAAATCGAGCTAACCCAAACAATCAATAATAGTACTTGTCGTAGAACTAGGTTATAGGATCTTGGTCACTACGCCCAAAAATCAGGTTACAGTGTGAGGTTTGCAGAAGAGTCTTCTGTTTGCTAATATTACGCTACATAGAAGTGATCAGAACTGTTTTTATATACTCAGCCTCCACATAGTAAATCAGTCTATGTATGAGTTGCGGATTAGCCTGGTTTAAGGACTTGGTGTTGCTGTAGGTTTCTTAGGCTACCTGAAGTGGTCTTCATCGGGTGCATGTTTTTCTAAAGCTAACAGTCTTCAAAAAGCCTTTGCTCATTGTCTGGTTCATAAAATATTCAATCCAGAAAGTAGCAAAAAGACGAAATATGGGGCCTCATTTCTTACTCCAAAAAATCCACCACCTTAATGAGCGTAAAACTTGGTATATGTAGAAACATATAATACATAGGGTTTCCAGTACATTGCTAAAATGCATTCCAGTCGAAATGGACCACATTCAGTCGTGCCTTGGTGGCGATTGGTGCCGTTTTTCTCTGTGTCCCGTGAGATAGAAAAGTACGTGGGAAAGCTTATTTAGAATGCCCAATGGATTCAACTGGAGCCCCACATGCCCCGAAAGGTAACTTGGAATTACACGCAATCTTACACCTGTAGCGACCCACGGACCAAGCAAATAATTTTAAGGGGCTGCGACATTTACGTATGCAGTTGGCATTGCAGGTAGTATGGATTTAATTAAATTTTCATTGTGAAAAGTAACTGCAAAGCAAGATTGACTGTGAAAATATACCAAGTAACTGGCTAACGTATACTTCCAGTCGTCTTCGAAAAGTTTTGGAAACAACTTAACATGAACACTTCAGGTGAGTCAACGTTAACTCATCTGGGTGTATCCGGTTCGGTTTACCCAAAGCCTGATCAACGCCACACCGAATTAGACCAAACAAAACTACGACAGAAATACCTGCCAGTTCTTCCCTGATGCGTTAACTGCCACAAAGTGACTAAGATATTTGCCACTCGTTAAAAATTAGCGGCAAATTCATACTTCTTGATCACAATTTCCTAGCGGTTATCACTGATAGTCACAAAGCAGTCACTGACCTTCACTAACAACGCAAGCATGAATATGTGGGCAAGTGTGTCTGGGGACACTCGGCTGCCTCCAAAATTCCGTACACAAAATACAGGACCCCGAAGAATAAACTCATTTCCACATCAGATTACATTTAACAAAAGATTTACTAAGAGTCCAGCTGAACTGGTCGTTTATAATAATCTTCAGCTGAGTGTGCTACACATAGCTCACTTTATGCTCCATTAGCTGCGGTGTTCGAGATATCATAGTACCTTTTCTCGATGAAAAATACCCACATGGTTGCTTAAAACTCTTGGACAGCTCACAACTAGTTTTATCCCTATCCGGCTGACTACTTAGGCACAGTTCCTTAATTTCTATAAACCTGAACCCAAAATGTAAGAAATTCACGAGACACAAGCACGTACATGCAGTCTTAGTTTTCACAGCAGACTCAACCGAATACCGGTAAAACAAATTTTTGCAGAAACTGGGTGACTAAGGCTGCCTGATGAGCCCAAGAAGAACACACCGGTCGTGCGCTGTCAGAGGACCTATAGAGACCTAATGCTTAGTTTCCAGCTAGGCGAGGATGCTGTCCATATCCACTGTCCGATTAGGCTAAAAGTTTCGCAGGTGAAGACCTAACCCATGGATGGCAAAACTGTCGCCGTCAGAAATTGGACACAGGTATATGATTGCAGTCGTAAGCACCAGCGCCTCCGTCAGTATAAGCAAGTATATATTTATGGTCTGTCGTCCTAGGTGTAAGCAAGCAACCTGGTCAAAAGTTTGGGTGCTCGTAGACGTGACGAAGGTGTTGAGATTAACGCCGCTGACAGTGATGTATGAACATATCTCAGTAAGTTGAGTAACTTGATGTTAACTATTTCGGCAGCTTTATGCATTCAGACTTAATGTAGTTTTTGCGCTATTTAGCATCACCTTAGACTCAGCAGTCCCGCTTGCCCAATTTGGCAACAAACTTACAGACTCTGAATTTACCATTCCGCTCAACTGTTTCTGCAAAGTGGGCAGACCTAATTAATAGATTAAGAAAACGTTCTGGGTGCATCAGATGGTGGATAGTCTAGGGATGCTACAGCACCAGAAATCTACTTGCTTTCCAAGTGTGACCCTAAAACCATTCAGAACGTCAAATCTATCAGGAAACTGCGTAAGCAGCACGTTTAAAATGGCACACTAACAAGCATCTCTGAATTGGAAACATTGTGCACTGGCGGAACAAAAATTAAGCAAGACGTCGTACGACAGAATCCCCGTTAATTATTGTTAGAGTCTGGTGTGATCACCAACACATCTTCTGGATTTAGCTATTAGTATAGAAACTATTCTATAATAACTGAGTTAGAGACCGGTCTGCGACATCCCGTAAAATTAAGCGTAAAGCACAGCAATACTCACCAACAATGTTTTCAGGATACATGACTACTAGAAGAGAAAGTCAAGAAAACGATTTCAGACTTACAGCCTAACTTTCAAGTTCCAAAAATCCAAATACTGTCATTTCTGAATATTGTCGTGCAGATAAGAACATGTTGGTGTTGTGAGGGAATCTGGGAGTCTTAATGGAGTTTCCCTCCAGTAAGTGAAGCCAGGCTATGCCGAAAAGCCTACATGCACTGTGGAGCTTATTCATGCTTATTCCCAACAATCGACGATGCGAATCTCACGAAACTCCAGTAGTTAGTCCGGAGCTCATAAGCTCCTAGCTAATAGTTTGAACACTTAACCGTTCGGCAACGATCGGCTGACCAGAAATGTGTTTAGCTCGCATTTAGACCAAACAGTCACTTATTCTGCAGTCACGGATCACTGGTCAGAGTTGTTGACTGGCTCTTCGGAAAGTCTCTGAAGTCATCACTTGAGGAGTCAGTCAACACTTAATGGGGATTCCGTTACTGTTTATATATACATATATATATATATATATGTTATACAAGTGCGACTTAATCACACTACCGATCAGCCGCTCGAAGCCGAAAGGTTAATTGTTCAAACCTCCAGGCGGGGGTTGCCTTTCAAAATAGAGCTGCTTCTCTTAAGGGAATCACGTTCTCCATACTCTGTTTATGCCTCCGAATATTGCTGGCGGAAGATAGCCATATCTTTGGCCACAAATGAAAACCCTCCTGGGTCTTGCATTTAAAGTGCCTTTCATCTTCTATGGAGCTCTGTTGAGTGGTCCATAAAACCACAATCTAACACTGGTGGAACATTTAAAGAACTTTCACCAGTATGTGTAGTAAAACAAACGCTCAATAAAAAGCGCAAATATGACATCATGTGAAGCTTTTTGTGCCACATAAGAACGAAGTAGAAATGGTATAACTATGGAAAAATGTCAAATCACTGCGATGTGGGTGCAGCAGGCAACAACTTAACTTGTCAACAG